ATCTATCTATCTATCTATCTATCTATCTATCTATCTATCTATCTATCATCTATCTATCTATCTATCTATCTATCTATCTATCTATCTATCTATCTATCTATCTATCTTCTGTCTGACTATCTATCATCTATCTATCAATCAATCAATCATCTATCTCTCTATCTCTCTATCAATCATCTGCCTGCCTGCGTACCTCCCTCTGCCCGTCTCTCCTGTCTCTGTCTCTGTCTCTGTCTCTCTCCTATCTGTTATCTTTCTGTCATTTCTCTACCATCTATCAATTTATCCATCTATCATCTCTCCATCTCTGTACCCATCCATCCATTCAGTTTATTTGCTGCCCATCTTGCAATGCAACGACTCGGGGCAACTTCCACCTGCAAACTACATTGCGGCATCTACTTAAAAATGTAGCAACAACAAATGAACTGGTAGAGCCCAGATCAACTTCTTAGCTCCATCCCATCCTCCCCACCTTCCTCCGGTCCTACCCAGCAAGTCAAGGGAGCTCTGGTGGTTGGATACCACCACGTAGGGCTCCTTGATGTTGAAGTTCTCGGTCCCCCGCACGTCGATCTTGATTCCATAGAGATATTTGATGTGAAGCAACATGAATTGTAATATCCTGGAAGGGTAAGGAAGAGAGAAAGCGTATCAGATTGGAACTTGACAACGTTTAATCGTGAACATACACTTGACAACATTTAAGCCCATGCACCAGCTTTTGGGAACATGGTGGTCCCTCCAAACGCCCAGAGGCTGCCTTTCACCACCAACGTGTGGAGAACAGCAACTTCACCATATGTGGAGGGCTGGTATGGATTGAGTTCGAAGAGGGATCTGCAGACTTGGCAGCTTTAAGACTTGTGGAAGCTGGCTGGGGGATTCTGGGAGTTGAAGTCCACAAGCTGGAAAGCTGCGAAGTTTGGAGACCCCTGAACTAGAATACCCTGCCGAAAGCAAACCTCAACATTTTTCCAAAAAGGAAGGAGGAAAACCATGCAACCCCCCCCCCCCCCCCAAGATGAAATGGTTCCTCCCAAGTATTCCCACCGAGCTTCACCAAAGTAGGAAAAGCTGGCTTGGGAACAGGTTTAACTGGAAGACACAATTGTTTCAAAGGGCTTGTGCCTGAATTTAGATGTGATCTTCCCACCCACCCACCACAATTTTATTGCTTAAATTTTGTTGTGGTGGCGTTGCTATTTCACCTTTGGTGGGTATTTCTATTTCTTTTCCCAAAGGACTTGTATTCCTATATGGACTGCACCAGCAGAGGCTAAACCAATTTCATTGTATACATGATGTAAAATGACAAGAAAGGCTTTGAACTTTGAAATTCAAAAGGCAACTGGACTTTTTTTTGGGGGGGGGGGGGGTGTTTCTGTTTTTCCTTAAAGACGTTTCCCTTCTCATCCAAGAAGCTTTTTCAGTTCAAGTTTCCTTCTTTTCAAGGAAAAAAAACCCCAAAAAGCCCTTCATGGCTTGGGACCGGGTTATCTGAGGGAACGTCTCTTGCCGGTCACATCTACCCGACCCATCAGAGCAGGGAGGCAGGGAATGTGGCGGGTCCCACCCCTGAGGGAGATACACCTGGTGGGACCCAGAAGAAGGGCTTTCTCCGTGGTGGCCCCTTCTCTCTGGAACATCATTCCCCCAGAGATTAAAATGGCTCCCTCTCTAATACTCTTCCGGAAGGCACTGAAGACCTGGTTCTGCCAGCGGGCCTGGGGAACCCAGAGCAGGATGGAGCCCATCAAACGGCTCGTGTGATCTGCTGTCGTCGGGGCGCGGAGTGGAAGTTGGAGGGTGATTTATTGATTTATTGATTCCCAGATTTTGTTCTATTGTACTTTATTAATTTATTTGATTCTTTGTGTTAGTTTTTATTGTTTGTTTGTTTTTTTAATCTATTTTAAATATGGTTTTACATTGTGTCAGCCGCCTCGAGTCGCCATGGGCGAATAGGCAGCAATATAAATTCGATAAATAAATTGCCTTTTGAAAAAGCGACACCTTCTGTTAAAAGAGGACATGTGTCAAAATTGAACATGCTCTCTCTCAACAAGAGGGAGAGGAAGAGGACATCATCTACCTCCAGTCTGCAACACAATCCTGTCAGCAGGTCCAAGAAGGCTCCACACCCATTTGTATCACTCAGGTGACCCTGAGGACACAGATAAACCTCCAGGCGGCCTCAACAACTCGCTAAAAGGATGCAAATGACCAGCTGTCTGCAAGGAATATAAATCCTTCCGTTCTCCACCATCCAGCCAGAGCTGAAGAAGCGTCTGGGGATGAGAAGTGAAACGTCTTGAAAGAAAAAAAAAAAAAAGTCCAATTTAAGAAAAAAGCACCTTTGGGGAAAAAAGCACCTTTGGGATCACCATGACTTGGATGACTGAGGATCTCCGTAGATATATATATGACCATGGATATCCAACATAGTTCTACTTATATTCTAGTATTTCCTATTTTCTTACTTATATTCTAGTTTAAGTCACCAAGAGTCATTGTGATCGCAATGGGGCAGGAATGTTTGAAAGAAAATAAAGATAAAATGTGGTTGGTTGGTTTGCGGCTTACCACGATACCGTTCACTAATACCAGCTCGTAAAACAAACTTCGCAGCCTGCAGTGGCATGAACTCATCCCAACAGTGATTTATTCAAGAAATGATGAGCCAGCAATGTAAAAATCTAAACCAGACGCTCCAACGCGTAAAATAGTCTTTCTGAAACAGGGCAAAGCACAATCACTCTCCCTTCAAGCCTGTTCTTTTCCACCCCCCTTTCCATTTCAAGGAGACATTGGACGTCTCCTCTTAAAAACAGATTCCCAGCAATAACCAGGCCGCAAGGCCAGATACAGTCTCCATTTTCCCTGTTTAGATTCCACAGAGCATTCTGTATTGGTCAGGATCCCATCCAAACAAGCAATTTGTGGACCTTGACAACAGGCGACAAGATGGTTAGGGACAGTTAAACTGGCAAACCCCATTTTTTGGGGGGAGGGGCCTCCCCTGTCGACAGCAAGCATACACAGCAAAGGTTCCTCGACCTTGTTCCACTTTGAATATGTGTGGACTTCAACTCCCAGAATTCCCCAGCCAGCCAGCCATGCTGGGGAATTCTGGGAGATGAAGTCCACACTTATTCAAAGTTAAGGACAATCCTTGGTTTTCCCAAGAGGATGAGCGGAGTTTTAAACTACATTTCCCATTTTATACCAGCTAAGCTAGCTGAAGATGGGATCTGTAATCCAATAGGCAATAAGGGCATCCCTGTTATCTAACCAGCTGCGATCAGACACAGGCCTAAGTCCGATGAAGGCTTTCTCCTAGTCCAGGGGTCTGCAACCTTAAACACACAAAGAGCCATCTGGACCCGTTTCCCACAGAAAAATAAAAAAACATTGGGAGCCCATAATTTAACAACCGCTATGACTGGGTGGGCGTGGCCAACTCAACGTCATTCACCCCCACCCAGTTATCTCCTGCTCTGCAATATGGAGCGAGTATCCATCCTCCACCATCACCCTTACCTTCTAAGGCCATGCGAGGAGTGACGGGGAGGGGAGGGGAGGGGCCAGTCAGTGGTGGGATCAGCCAACGGAGCCACAGCAGAGGGCCGAAAGAGCCGCATGCGGCTCCAGAGCCGCAGGTTGAAGACCCCTGTCCTAGCCCAAGAAGGGCAGACTACTAGCACAGTGGTTGCCAACCAGTGGGCTGGGGACCACTGGTGGTCCACGAGAAAATTTTGATGGTCTGCAGAGAAATGTCACCCCCAAAGCAATTAATCTAGGCTGCGCGGGAACGCAAGGCTGTGCCGCCCACATGGCCCTTGGGAATACAAGGCTTGCGTCACTTGCATTGCGAACAACACGAGGTAGTGAGGAGAGGGGGGAACTTGCCCCATTTGCCGCACACGCCTCTCCTGGCCACCGGGTTGCTTCTTTCCACTTCTTTTTTCTTCTGCTTTTGGCTGCACGCAAGGAAAGAAGCAAAAGTCTTTCTTTCTCTCCCCCAATCTCCGCCAGAAATGAGTCGTTGGGACCCTGCAAAGGCGTCCTGCTCCAAGAGGCTGTGCTGGTGCGACAAGTTTCACAAAGACTCATTTCTGGCAGAGTTTGGGGGAGAGACAGAAAGACTTCTGCTGCTTCTGCTGCTTTCCTTGCATGAAGCCAAAAGTCTCTCTCCCCCCCCCCCCCCG